GAATTTCTGGAAACTCGGAAGAGAACTGTGGTTCTATCACTTGTGGTACTGCTTTGGAGCTCCAGTGAAACCCTTACTTCAGCCTCTAAAACGCCGTGGTTTATTGTGTGTTCTATTGATTTTGACACTTGAGTTAAGAACATAGGAATTTGTAGAAAAGCATACTTTGCATCAAAATTAAAATTATAAATAAAATGTATTGAAATAAAATCTATATGTTAGTTTAAAAGTAATATATATTTCATGATGTTTTGATGCAAATTAAGTGATTAAGAGAATTGTTTACTACCACAGCATTAATAAATACTAACTGATAAAGACATTGTTTTGGTGCAGTAAATGTGCTCCAAAAATCCCAGCATTTCACTTCCAGGATCCAAGTAATAGTAACAGCATCCACCATGCAAGCTGGCCTCATTTTTATTACAGCATGCAATTATAAAGAAAAAATATAATGGCCCAGCATTTTATGTAGTATGAACTGTTAGCAGTATTTTAAGTTGGTAAGGATATTTTCTAGGTTATTTCCTCTATGAGGAAAAATGTTAATACCATGTGACACTTCTATTTCTTGTACTAAATGTATTGGGCACTAAAATAATAATAATAATTATAATCCTTGAATTTGATATAGCGCTTTTCACGTCTGCTAGACGTCTCAAAGTGCTTCACAGAATATACTATAAAGTGAATTGACTGTATATTTGTGGGCAAAGCGCGGCAGCCAATCGCGCACAGCATTGTCCTACAAACAATTGTGGATTGAGAGACCAAATTATTATTGTTTCTTTTCTTGAGGGATTATTATCAGGCGTGTGGAGTAAGGGAACTTGCCCAAGGTTTTGCTCTGTCAGGAATCGAACCCAGGTATATCGCTTTGAAGACAAGTGCTCTAACCACTGAGCCACAGGACTCCCAAGATGTTGCTAGCTCATCCACTGCAGCTTCATCCCTGCTCTTTCCAATAAATCCTTTTATATTCTTTTCTTTAAAAGTTTATCCAATTCCCTTTCAAATGTTGGTCATGTTTCTGTCTCAGTAGTCAATAATATTAATAATAATAATCCTTGCATTTGATATAGGGCTTTTCACGTCTTCTAGACGTCCCAAAGTGCTTCACAGAATATACTGTAAAGTGAATTGACTATAATAATAATATCAGCACAAAAACAATCTATTTACTATCCGTTATTCTGAAAGTAAGATCTTAAAGAGAAACATTGATCCAAAGTTCCAAATATGTCATCAAGAACCAGAAACAGTCGACCACATATTGTCATCATGTCCAGCCCTTGCAAAATTAGACTATCTGATTAGACATAACAGCGTAGCTAAATATACTCACTGGACAATTTGCAAACATTTTGATATTGATGTAAAGACCAACTAGTATGAACATCAACCAGTAAAAGTGACATCGAGAAACAACATCACAATATTCTGGGATTCACAAGTACATACACATAGAATAGTAATCTAACAAACCAGATACTATCATAAAGAATAGATTGTATATGTATTATTCATGTTGCTATCCTAAGTGATTACAACATAAGAGATAAGGAACTATAGAAGATCAGAAAAGATCTTGATCTACAAATTGAATGCGGATGTTTGTGCAGTATAAAATAAACATAGTTCCTACAATTATTGGTGCAACTGGGACTGTTGATAAGAAAATTTAGAAATGGCTTGACAAAATACCTGGTGAATATCAAACTCCTGCAAAAAGTAGGTATTTTAGGAAGTTCAAACCTACACAGAAAGGAACATCCATTCATATGTAATGTGCCAGTGTTATTGGTCTGTAATAACATAATAATAATAATCCTCACGTCCACATATAATGCCTATCACATCAGGAGGACACCTCAAAGCCCCTCTCAGAATATACTATAAAGTGTGATGACTGTATTTTGTAGGCGATTTTGCTTCCTGCATTCTGATAACCCCCTTCTGCCACCCCCTGTAACTCTTCCAGTGACAGTCCCAACTTTTATCCTCAGCAGGTTATATTCACTGGAATTAAAAATAAAGAAAATGATCACAAAAATGACTGGAGGATTAAATTAATGTAGATTTGTTCTTAAAAAGCAAATGTTTGGACTGGAATGGCAATATTGAAGCTATTTCTACCTAAAACAATCTGTTTAATACTCCATTCTGCACACCTTCTAGAATTGAATATATGAAAAAAAGTGAAAATGCTGTAAACCCACAACAACTTAATCAGAATCTGAAAGAAAACAAAAGAGAACATTTTGAACCTTCATAAGAACACAAAGGTTCATGCTGAAACAGTAACCTATATTCCTCAAATGCTGACTGACCTGCTAAGACGTACAGCATTGCTAATTTGATAGATACTCAGAGAATGTTACAGAACAGGAACAGGCCATTGACACATCACGTCTGAGCTGGTGTTTTACTCCAATGAACCACTTCATTCTGCCTCAATTTCCTGCTCGCCCCATACACTTTCGTACTACTCTTTTTCAATTATCAATCTAATTCCCTTTTCAATATAAAATCTATAGGCTCTGCTTCAACAGCACCTTGAGGCAGAGAATTGTATTAATTCCAGCCATTCTCTAAGCCAAGAGGTTTCTTCTACCTCCACTTTGATTCTTTTTGTAATTATCTTAAATTTATGCTCTCGCATCACTGAATTTGATTTCTAGCAATCTCAATTGTTTCCTTTTACAGTGCACATTATCACATTAATTGCATTTGATACCTGAATAAACTTGCGTTCATTTTTTGTTTCATTACTTGACAGTTTCAAGATTCTTCTCTCATCAACACTAACTTATTTTCACTTGACTATGCATTGGAGTGGTAAGACAAGACATTTCAGTGATTGCATACATGTGTTTGAAAATAGAAACACAAAGATTGCCATGCTATTAGGAGTTATTAATATGACTTTACAATGGTTGATTATTTTAATCAGCTTGTTTATAGTTTCTTAAAACATATGGTAATGATCTACTAGAGATTAAAAGGTAAACAATATTGTAAGTAGCAACCTACAATACACGTAGCTCTGGAGTATATCTCGGATCGGGTTAGATATACTCCAGAAAAAGCAGACCTGAATTGATTAAAAATGACAATCCTTATTTTGCTTCAAACCACTCTAAAAAATAATCAGAACTTCATATGTTTCAATCACTTTGCAAGATACATTAATCTTATTAATCCCATCTATATCAGTTACCCATTGTTGGAAGCTCTGAGGATTATTATCAGATTAAGTCAATATTCCTGTGGATCCTAAAAATAATTTGCCAACTTCATTGAGATGTTGCAGCAGAGTTTAACCTTTGTGCCATTGGGACTCCATTACTAGTTTGCTCTTTTATATAACATCATTAAGCTTGTGGACATTTTGTTGTCCCATTGCCAGCCATAAAACAGTTTATGGATTGGAGAGAGTGCAACAGAGATTTATTAGGATGTTACCAAGGATGAGTTGATACAACTATCAAGAAAAGTTGGACATATTAGAGGTTATCTCTGGAGAAAAGATGATTGATAGGGAACCTGATAGAGGTATTTAATATTATGAAAGATTTCAATAAGGTAATAGGCTGTTTCCACTTGTTGGTGAGTCCAAAATGAGAGGGAATAAATATAAAATAGCATATCTAAAAGTTCAGGAGGGCCTTCTTTATGCAGTGGATAGTGAGGATGTGGAACTCATTGCTGGAAGTTGTAGTTGAAGTAAATGTATTCAAGAGAGATACATCCATTGGGGAGAAGAGAAGAGAGGGATGTGGGAGATGGGATTAGGAAAACTGGGAGTTATGTGGAGTATAAACACCAGTACAAACTAGTTGGCCTGACTGGCTTGTTTCTGTGCTGTTGTGTTCTATGCAATTCTAAATTTTTTTGTATGTGTTCTGTGGAAAACAATGTGAATTTTGCTTCAATTTCCTTATTTTACTGTTTGGTAAGTAATTTCATCAAAATTGTTGCACTTCTAAATTACGATTTTCATTACAATGTAGCATGCAAAAATGTACTGATTGCTCAGAGAGAGATTTTGCAAAGTGAAAAGACATTTATTCCCAATTACTGTTTAAATTTAAACTCTGCACAATATTTTGGTTGAATCTATTAAATGTTTCTATTTCTCAACAAGGTGAAGGAATTCTGCTTTGGGAAGAGGAACACCTCCCATTTCAGGCACCTCAACATCAAATATTCCCAGTTCAATTATCGCATGGTTTAAGTACAGAGTAAATGTCTCCGTCAGACAGCTGACCAAAAAAATGGAAATCTACCTCTACTCTTTCGCAACAATACACTTTAACCCCAATTTCAGATGAGCATGTCATTGTGATGTTTTTCACTTGCCACAACACTCACTCTGTGGTTTCTTGATTCTTAAATTACCTCATATATAGGGGCAGTTGTGTAGAGTAAATTCCTGCAAGCTGGAGACAGAATTGAGGTTGCCCCAAATCATTTTACTTAAGACCATTGCCCCACAGATAAAGTAGCATTGTAACCAAAACTCTTTTTTTACATTACAATGCCGCTCAAGGTGAAATTTAACAATTCCAGGCACGGGCATTGTAGGAAACTGTTGTTAATCTTTTTTTTCCTTTAAATAATAATCATTCTATGCTGTTAGCCATCCAAGTGGGATGAATATCAGCTTATTCTACAGGACTCGACAGTGTGTACAGAACAAATTGAAAATGGAAATGAATTAGATCTCCATCTCAGGTCAAAGCTTGATTTCCTACATTGCTTCAACCTCAAAACCGTAATCTCAGTGTATGCAGGTGGTTCAATATTGTTAATATTGGAATCATATATACAGTATATATAAATATATTTCCGGCCAGATTTCAAGTTCCACCAGTTTGTTTAATAGAACTATTTCTCAGGTGATATTGAATAGTTCAATTATTTTAATTTATATGAACTGGTGTGTACACTCTCCTGTGCAGACATTAACCTGTTTCTTTCATCTCTGTTGTCACTAGGCCGCCTGAACCAGTTTACAGCACTGTGAACAAAATGTGTGACACACCAGCTTCACCTAGCCACTATTTCCCTGTTGAGTATGATAAAAGCTACCATCATTCCGCTAACTATTCCCACTACTATGTAGGCCTGGTTCCTGACAGTGAGCTCACCAGGTACTTCATGTGTGTGATCCTCCGCTTACTGTCGTTTACAACGTGGGCGTCACTAGACCTATTAAAATATGAGTGGATATAAACTGAATTACCAAATTAATTTATTATTCATTATGCTTTGCCAAATTAAAGGCTGTAGTTACTCATGTTACTCTAAATTCCCTATTCTAAGTCTTGGATGCCTTTATACTAATTTCACAATGTAATTTTGAAGTGAAATTATTTGAAATGTCAGAGATGTCACACGTAAGACATTATTCTGCTTAAATAAATTTAGCATTTCAGCTTTAAAGGTAGAAGAGACATAGTCTGAATAGCAATAATCTTGGTGTAATACTATATTCAAATGGAGAACTTTTTTTAATTAAGCTCTGTGTAAAGTATCAGCGAAAGATGGAAACGCAATTTGCAGAACTGAATGACAATGTCCTAGGACTGTACGGCCATATTTGCATGACTGCTTCAAAGTAATCTAAAATGGCACATTGTGAAACTAGTCCTCCAATTATATCATTGCATCAGAAAATAATCTTGATTCATCATAAATTGTCTTCTTTGATTAATTTGAATTGATTCATAATTTGATATGTTACATAATTCTGGTTCTATTTATTGCACCAATTAATTTCCCTCCTCTACTCTATTGAAAGAATTGTTCTACTCATTTCCTTTCACTGGTGTTAAGTTCTTTAGGCATCAGTTGCCTTCCAGTGTCCCATCTAAGTGGCTATTATTCATATCTGGAGTTATTTGACTGAGCCCGATTCTGTAGTCACCTTATACCGATACATCTTCAGGGGTGCCTGGCTGGTTTTCCCCTCCCTAACCCATGGGGACTGAGGCCAATTGCAGTGCCCTTGCCGAAATCAACTAAAACAACATAATGGGCCAAATGCCCTTCCTCTGTGCTGTAAAAAAAACATTCTATCGCAGACTAGAAATACCAACTAGCTTTTGTCTATAAAACCATTTGGTTATTAAATTTAAATTCACACCAATGTGGAAAATTCTTGAATTCAGTTGTAATTTGGAACAAATTTTCCACTGTTCTTAAAAGAACCGTCTTCCAAATTAAGAATTTTCCACAATTCTGCGCTAATTTAAATTTTACAGATAAAACTGGATGGAATTTGGGGCCTCAGAAATTAAACCTGTTTTTAGGCCATAGCACTGCACTGGTCACAGGATCATAAAATTGATTTTATTTGAAGAAGGCCCTTCAGCCCATCTCATGTTATCCCTCCAGAATAGCCACCCTATCGTCCGGCCATCACAGAATCGAGCTGTTTTTTAAGTGAATCCAGTGCCCTGACCTCAAGCACCCTTTCAGTTGTTATTACCCACTTGGTAAAGAAAAACCTCCTGATGTCTGTCCTAAAATTGCCCGTTACAACCTATGTCCTCATTCTACTATCTTGGTGCATTCTAAAGTACTTAGGGTGTATTCTTTCAATCCAATTTAAAATGTTATACACTATAAGACCCCTCCAGAAAGCCTCCTCTGAGTAGTCTTCTCTCAAGACAATTGTGGTACCTTTACCCCTCAAGCCAACAGGAAGCCTGTTTGATTTTTTTTATTGTCTTCTGCCTTTCATCTATTATTTATAATTTTTACTGCTTTGTTTTTTCTGTTTGTTCTTACCTTCTTGTTCTCCTTGTGTCATAAACTAGCTTTGGCTGAGAGGATGGGCAAGCGATCTGATGCCAGACCTCTGTTATTCTGCTGAAACCATTTGCAAATAGATATGCATGAGGAGCATGGGATTGTTTCTTGCCTCCCCTTCCCCCATTGATTTTTCCTTAACTGTGAAGAAGCATGTACTCCTTTTGGCACTTCCCCAGGAACATAGTTGAGATTGCAGTTACTATGTTGGAGATTTTGGCTCTGATCATGTTTCCCCATTCTCTAACACATTAGTGCTCTGATGTTCTGCACCATTGCACTTCCTGTGTTTGTTGCATTTATTATAGAGTTACTTACCAAAGACTCATTATATCACATTTGTTGATTCTGACAAATGTTTAGTTAATTATACATCTGTTGTCATTCCTAAATGTTCCTGAATTGCCCCATTTTTTAGCTTTTTTTAAACAAACCAAATTGCTTACTTAAAAAACACTAGATACGTAGTTTGTAGTATTATAACTCATATTTAAATCTAAAATAGGGTCGGTATGGTGGCATCCATTATCAGGTTAGAGTAATTATTTGCTGACAATTTTAATGGCTATGTTGGCAGCACATTATCCCAAGCTCATAATATTTGATAACATTTTCTAGTGAAGCCCATATTTAGAAATCTTGTAACTTGAATGTGACTGCATGTAATTTTGTGCTTACTGTACAATCCTTTACATAACTTGCAGTAACACTATTGTCTACCATTTGGAAGAATGTATACCTTGGTGTTTTACATTCTCTATTTGTGATGCTAAAAGTGTATGATTAACAGCTTATTCAACAAGAGGCTTTTTATATGGACTGTACCTCGACTGTACAGAACTTGTTTTACAGAATTTTTCCCAATCTATGTCTTAAAGGTAGGTACCATCCTAATTTGAACTGTGCATTCTTTCATTGATAAAAAATACTTCATATTATAATATGGATAGATTTGGTTTTGTTGAGCTGAGAGATTGATAATCTTGTCTGATTGTGGGAGGAGTCAGGTGTGTGTTTCTTGCATAAGAATTTCCTTCACATCACTTCTTACTCTTTGGAATAAATTCCTTACAACATGTCGTCCAACAGTTGGATTAAAGAATAGTATAAATATAAAACAAAATAAATAGTTCTACAAACATACTTTTAGAAGTGTTTCACAAGTAAGAGGACAGATAAAGTTAGGCCACTAAGCAACGAGGAAGTCCAACCAGTGGAAGAAACTATGTAAATGATACTATAGTGTAACTATATTTTGCCTCCGTATTTACAGGAGGGTGAAGATGGTACAGTAGGAGTAAGAGGAGATTGTGAAGCAGCAGCCGCTAGAAAAGAATAAAATAATTAAAGTTGATAAGTGGCCAGATTGACTACACCACCAGGTGTACACTCCAAAGGACTAGAGTTTGAAAATGCCATCTGCTTGTTCAAAAAAGTGGAAAATGTTAGACAAGGTATCTATAGAGCAACTCATATTGGCAGATGTGCTTTATGTCCCAGTGTGAGGATCTAAGTATTTAGGTTGCTCTTTTACTGACAAGTCCTTTCTTAATCCAACACAATAGTGTGTTTCCTTGCTGTAGCATTTCCCTCATACACACTTGTTTTGCTCAACATTCTACTTGAGCTTCTGGTACAGCTATTCATTCAGCGAGAGCTCAAACCAACACTTGTCACCTCACCTATCTAATTATAATTATTCAGCCTCTTGAAGGAAAATTAAATGGTGAACTCTTGGATCTAGTATGAGCCAGGTGGGAACACACAAGATCTTGTTTTCCCAAATACCAACTCTACTTTCTTCCCATTAAATCATCTGATGTTTCCTAAATTTATCCAGGCCTCAATCACATTTCATGGTAACCCATTTCAATTGTTGATTACCCTCTATGGTGCAGCCTGTTTAGCTTTAATAACTAGCCTGCCTAGTTCTTCTTTAGGACTTGAAGAGGTAGACATTTGACACAATGAGCTGATTGGCTTCTTCTATGCTGTAAATATCTATGTTACTGGTGGGAGTGGGTGGGAAGTGTTCCCAAGGGAACAGACTGCGTTTCCAGAACAACCAAATAAAAATTGAATTCTATGAGCTATAACTTTGGATACTCCAGCATGAAGTGCTTCTTGCATGTCATACTCAACTGCCTAAAAATTCAATACAGTAGAATATCACTTTGCTGCACACCAACTATCCATATTACGAGTGAAGTCGGTCTGTGATGTCAGCAGGAAAATGTCTTTGCACAATTGCATGCAAGGTTACCAGGTATGCAATTTCTCCAAAGTTTAAAATAGCCATGTGTAAGTGTATCCCTTGTATCATTTTTCTTAATCACCTAGGGGTTAGAGAGAGATACAGACATACACAGTTAGTGAGACAGAGAGAGAGGTAGAAAGACACAAAGAGACCTAATATCTGCACTACAACGGTTGTGATTGATGTGGACATTGAACTCTCTAATGGAAATAAACCATAGGAATTTAGACCCTTTTATTCATGCTTTTTGCAAATATAGGGCAACAGAATAGGGCCTTGTACATGTGCACTTCTGCTGAACTGAATGTGAACTAAAATTGAAAGGCACTTTGGGTTTTCAGTAAATTTGTCACTCCTCCCTAGCGAGCCACAAATACATTTGTCATAAGGGTAAAATTACTAACTACTGTGATAAAGTGACCTTCTTAGTGCAAACAATGTGGTCTGTGTGTAAGAAAGCATGTATCCAGTTTCTAGTCCAATGTAGAACATCAAAGGTTAAACTTGACCTTCAAGGTCACTACCATTAACTGTAGCTGCAACCAAATGTTCCTGAACTAACAGCAATTGTCTGACTTTCTCTTAAAAATGAGAACCTTTGCTGTGCAGTATACATATTAACAAGACAAATAGGATAGCTTTCTTAGGACTTTGTGTTCTTTTCTAAGTACAACAAATGTAACCTCCAATGGCTCAACAAGTTTATAGGATCGTAGGAACTGGAGGTCATTCAACCACTCCAGCTTGCTTTTGTCATTTTGTGAGTTAATGATTCCATTACAGGGAAATTTCCATGTGTAGGTGACACGCTAATGGCTGGTTTGGTTATCCGTAAGCATGGTGATGGGCTTCCACATGAATCAGACATCCAACTGACCAAAAAATGTTGATGATATCTTTTAAATGATTTTTCACTATTTCGCTAAATACCCATAACATCAACAACAACTTGGCTTTATATAGCGCCCTCCACACCTACATATCTATCTGGTGAGTAAGTGAACCATACAGCATGAATTTGATAGCCTGCTTACACTTGCTCATTCTGACCCACCTCATAGACTTCGAGGAAGTTACTTT